TGAGCCAGCCCAGATTGGTTTCATTATGGCCGGTTTGCCCAAGCAGTATGAGGCGTACATGCTTTCAATTTCTTGTAAAGCTGAAGACGTGAAGAGTAAATTGTATTAAGCCGAAAAGCAAGATAAACTTCAACGGAAAGTAGACGAGAAAGACGAGGAGAAAGCGCTCTATTCAAGAAAGCAACAAGAATCATTCAAGAAGAACGCAGGGTATACTCAGAGATCAAACAACCAGAACCACAATACCAGTGATGCTAGAAGGAATGTTATATGTTTTGCTTGCAATTCTCCTGGACACATCTCAAGGAATTGTCCCAAATTTGGTAAGCAGGGAGACGGTCCATCATCTCATCGCCAAAATGCAGGTACGACATCTAAGCAAAGTGATATGGGTGAGTCAGCAAAAATTGTTATTTTAAATAAACCTCATGTTACTGATGAATCTGACGACGAACTCATTGCGTTGACTGTAGGTAAGACGAGAAAAGGAATTAAAGGAATGTGGATTATAGATTCAGGTGCAACACACCACATGACTCCATTTTCTGATATTTTGGAAAATTTTGACGACAGCATTAAAAAAGACGTAGTAGTAGCCGACGAGAGAAAAGTCGTAGTAGTAGCCGACGAGAGAAAAGTCTCTGTAGAAGGAAGAGGGAGTGTTGTATTAAAATTAGCCGAGAAGTACGGAAATAAGAATTTTAAATTAACTGATGTATCTTTTGTCCCGGACCTAGATTGTAACTTACTGTCAGTCAAACAACTTGATAAGAAGGGTTTTAAGATTGTTTTCCAAAATAACACTGTTAATGTCCTGAAAAACAACAAAGTAATATTCACAGCTTGTGGCTTCAACAGTTTGTATCAAATACGGAGTGAAAAATACATTGTTGACGGAAAAAGTTTGCTATGTAATGTTTATGACGACGATAAGCTTAAATGTTTTGCTGTGACTGAGTGCACCTTTAAATCTGAAGTATTACAGCACCAGAGATTTGGTCATTTAAAGGATTAGCCAATGTTTTGTGAGGGAAAACCTAACATAAAATGTGACGTATGTGTTCAGGGAAAAATGTGTCGAAAGAAATTTTCAATCAGTAAAAATAATGCTGAAAACGTACTTGATAAAGTTCATTCAGACTTATTTGGAAAAATAACTCCGCAAAGCATGAGTAAGTCATCCTATTTTGTTACTTTTTTAGATGATGCATCTCGGTATTCTGAAGTTGCTATTTTGAAAAAGAAAAGTGAGGTATTACGAGAATTTAAGAAATATGTAAATCACACCGAAGTGTTACATGAGACACGAGTTAAGGTATTACAGTCAGATAATGGAGGCGAATACATAAGTAATGCATTTGATGAATATCTTGCCGAAAAAGGAATCGAACGAGGTTTATCTGTGCCAAGAACACCACAGCAAAATGGGCGGGCAGGACGGTTAAACCGTACGCTTCTTAATATTACACGCTGTCTGATATTTCAGTCTGGTCTTCCTAAATATTTTTGGGGTGAAGCATTAATAACAGCAAATGACATTCGAAACTGCTGTCCGTCCCGTGCGATTAACAATTAAATTCCTAGAGAAATATGGTTTGGGAAAGGGTTTACGCCAGACGAAGCTGAAACTATGAAAGTTTTTGGATGTAGAGTGTGGGATCTAGTCCTTGGTGCAGGTAAACTCGACAAAAGAGCCGTTGAATGTGTGTATCTAGGTAAAGCCAGTGGAGTGAAAGGCTATAGACCGTGCAGCATTCATGATAAGAAAATAAGAATTTCTAGGGATGCTAATTTTGAAGAAGACATTTTTCCGTACAAAATGTCTGTACCAACTCTAGTGACACAAAATGAGCCGAAAAATATTGTAATTTATGACTATGATAGTAACGAAAATGTTGATGATGATAGTGACCAAAATGTTGATGTAAGTCAGAATTTAACTTTTGAATATGTTGGTGTCAATGATGGAGATGTCAATTTAAATCAAAATGTAGCTCTTGAAAATATTGTTAATGATGTAAACCTTCAAATTGTCGATGTGAATGTAGACGAAAAACCGATTGTTAACCAGGAAGGTCCATGCAGATCAGAGAGAGAAAGGAAACCCAGGAACACAAGCGAGTGTTGCTTAAAAGCTGTTTGTTCTAAAAACCTGATTGAACCTAATACGGTCAACGAGGTATTTTTGAGAGAGGATAGGGACGAGTGCCTTGAAGCCATGAAAACTGAAATTGACGACTTAAAAAAAATTAAGACGTGGATAGTTGTTAAGAAACCAGAGAGAGCCAATATTGTAGGTTCGAAGTGGGTTTTTGCAATTAAGACAAATGTAGACGGATCGCTTAAACGAAAGGCTAGACTTGCCGCTCAAGGTCATACCCAAATTTACAGGATCGACTTTTGGGAAAGTTATAGTCCTGTCTTGCGTTGATCTTCTTTTTGCATACTGATTGCATTAGCAGCTGATCGAGGGTGAGGAGTCGATCATGTAAATATTGTAGGCGCTTATCTAAATAGCCCCCTTAAAGAGACTGTTTAGAGACTTCATCAATCCGGTAAAGACTGGTTTGAAACGCTGATCGAAATACTATTAAGTCTTGGTTTTAAACAATGTATTTCAGATCCATGTATTTTTGAATCACGGACAGTAGGTATACGAAAAAAAGGTCTACTCAAAAAATGTCTACATTTTTTGGTCTACAGTCAAAATGTCTACAATCAAAAAGTCTACTTTTAGAATGCCTAAGAAAGTAAATGTCTACATAGAACGCGTCTATTAAAGGAAAATGAATTCACGATGATTCTTCTCCATAGATACAACTAAAGAAGTAACTGATGCGAGTCCATTCTACCTACGCCATTCAGAAGTTAGCTTTCTGAGTACGGACTTTTTTTTTTAAGACATTATTATTTGTAGACATTTTCGAAGTGGACTTTTTAGTTCCAGACATTGTAAATATAGACTAAAAAATGTAGACTTCCTGCTTGTGGACATTTTTGCTGTAGACCTTCTGTCTGCATACCGTATTTTTGAAAGTGAACATGTCATTATAAGAGTCTATGTTGATGATTTGGCCATTTGTGGAAAGCAACTACATGTTGACGAACTCAAAGTCAAGTTGTCTGAAAAATTGAATATTAAAGATTTGGGTCCAATTACAAATTTTGTCGGAATTAATGTAGAGAGACCATCTACTCATGTAATTAAATTACACCAAGAGCCTTACATTTAGGAAAATTTGAATAATTTTGTCTAATTCTAGAGGCTGTCTTACTCCTAGAGATCCTAATTGTAAATTAGAATATGATGACGAAGACCCTTTTGACCCCTCCCTGTACAAAAGAGCAGTAGGTCAACTACAATTTATCGCAACATGTACAAGACCTGATATAATTTTCGCAGTGAACCAAGCAAGTAACAATTGTAAAACTCCAACTACAGGACATTGGAATGAAGTGCGAAGATCATGCGCTATTTAAAACAAACATCCAATTATAGACTGACCTATGAAAAATGTAACCTAAGCCCTACCATTTATTCAGACTTTGATTTTTCAAATGATGTTAAGGATAGTTTATCCGTATCAGGATTTGTAATTGTCATGAGTAAAGGCGCAATAGCTTGAGAGTCTAAAAAGCAAGCTAGTATCGCCACCTCCACGACCGAAGCTGAATACAATGCCCTTTTCGAGACTAGCAAAGAAGTAATTTAGTTAAGAGAGTTTGCCTGTGAACTTAAAATTGATATCAGCACACCTAGTATCATTTACGGTGGGCAAATGAGATGTGTTCAAAGAATAAAGTCACAGAGCGCAATAAACACATCAGAGTGAAACAACATAAAATTAGAGAGTATATAACTGAAGGCGATATAAATGTTAAATTTATCAGCAGTGATGAAAATAGCGCCGATATGCTAACTAAGGCTGTAAGTGGCCCCAAAGTCATTTACTTATCTCAGAAGGCCGGATTAAATCCTATCACTGCATAATTTTGTAGCCGTCTTTGTTTAAATTTAAGAATGCCCTCCAAAAGATTTAAAATGGAGCTTAAGCAATTTAATTTTGTTGTTTAAAATTGTTTTTTTTTAAAGGACCATTTACCTACGTTCTTTTTTTAGAAGTTTATTTTGTATTTTAAACTGAAGTTTCTTCAATAAGTTTAATAGAAATGTTGAAGGATTAAAATTCTTGACTTGTTTTTGACTTTAAGTTTATTTTTCTTTTATATTTGAATGTATTTTCTTTCATTTTTTCTTTGACGTTTCTTTTTGATGACACAAGTTGAAAAAACTATTATTTTTCTAATTTTTTTTCCTCTTTTGTCTAAACTTTTGTTTGGTGATTTTTTTTTAGAATATGAATGTAATTTTTTTTCTTTTCCTCTGTCGATCGACTCTACGAGGGGAGGTAATGTAACCCGTTTTTCCTAGTGTTGTGCATCTTCATGATGTTTTTACTTGTAGCTTGAATCTGCACAACAAGGGGAGGTGTTATAATGTATCATCTCTCCATATGTTTACCCTTCAACCTTATGGTTAGGCCACACTTCATACTGTTCCCCACTCCCTTAGCTGCTTGTTGATCTTATAGGTTATGTTCATCTCGTTCATCTTTTGCCGTGTCATGTAGTTATCTTTCATCTTAATAAAACTAACGTTTAATTAATCTCGCGACTTTTTAATGAGTTGATCCCTTCAGAATAACAGTCGACGGTGTAAGTCGGCAATCACATAACTCGGTTTGCAACGTTGCAGACTTCCTGTCATACTTCATTTTAAAAACGGAAAACTACTCAACGGCAATTCTTTCAAACTGCCGTGATGTTCCTTCTCTGTGCAAAGAAAATTCTGCATAAACTTCAAGGAATGATGTCAATTTGTTTTCCTTGAAAAAAATAATAAAGAGGCAGAGATTTTCAGACACCGCAAACGAGATACGTGATAGCGGACTTACGCCGTCCATGTGCTTGTTTCATGAATGCAAAAAGATTGTACTCACTCCGGGATGGAACAATGAGAGCAGAATAGTTTGTAGCATTTTGAACAATTTGACCCACAGTAATTGCACACTTTTGTGTCACAGAACGAGCACGCAGCTACGAAAATCTACAGAAAGAAAAAAATGAAAATTCGATGAGATCAAGTTATCACAAAAAGAGTAGAATGAAAATTCTATCACAAACTAGCTTCTGACAGACGTAGGTTTGCAGGTGAAATCAAGTTTCGAAATTCCTGACTTATCCCCAACTTTTTTGGAAAAAAAAAAACTATAAAGAGTAATTAAAACTGAGGTGTAATTTGATAATTGTAATGCGATTTCAATCTTGCAGCGCCCAGTGCTCATTCAACAACTACAGAGCCAAATTTTGATCTCACTTCTCGGTTTAACCTCTTTCACTGACTTATGAATGATTTTGCCTTAAGCAGGTTTCCTGAAAGGAGGGAAAGGTCAGCAGCTTGAAGCAGAAAAAGCAGATAGAAGAGCAGATTGTTACAGCAACGTTTCTGCAACATTTTCTAGTGTAAGCATAAGAAGAATATTTAACACGTACGCACATGCTATTAATAGTCTTTTGACAGTTCAAAAACGGTGTTATATTGGACTGTTGAAATTCATCGATGTAGTACATGTCCTAAGTAGTATATAGATGGCGATTTGAGCACAATGATTTTGGCCAAATTGTGCAGAAAGATAGGAATTAAATAATGGGTTTCTGGGATGAGCATTGCACCACCTCGCAACAATGTAAAACAGGTAATTTTGAAAATTTGAGAGCATTGCATCTTGCTCCTTCAATCTGCGGGTTCTGCCGTAGTTTTGGAAATTTGGCAACATAGCAGTTAAGAAGAAATTGGACTGCATTTTGCAATTTGGAACTATAAATTCTGGCTGAACTGGTAAAACACTTACGTGCACAGGGAAACTAATGGCACGTACGTCGTTTTTAGACCGGGCTAGAATTTATAGTTCCAAATTGCAAAATGTAGTCCAATTAATGTTAGTAGGGTAAGCGGTATAGTATAATTGGACGTATTTCTACCAGACAGACCTATGTGGAGGTAAGAAATATGGGGTGTGCTCGTCGAAGCTGCATAAGAAGCAATGTGAAAGTGGGCGTGATTCCTTCTGAAGAATTGGAAAAGCGGGATGTTACATTCTATCAAACAGGCCTATGTGCCAACTGAATACGGCAGTCATGAGCCGCGGGCATGGCAAGAGAGCGTTGTGGACAGGGCTCATGAGTTAAAGCGCCCCGACGACGATCTTTCCCTCGCACCCCGGCTCGCAACGGCGTCATCATTACCGCTGACGTCACTGGCGCTTTAGTATTCTCATTCACTCTTACGCAAAGAGAACTAACGAGAACACCCCATATTTTTCACTTGCACATAGGTCTATTTGGTAGAAATACGTCCAATTGTGCATTAAAATATGAATTGTGAGAGTTGGCGGACTAGGCAGTGTTGTAAAATTGTGCATAGAAATAAAATTAAACTTGAAAATAAACGTTTTAAAAATGTATAATAAAAACAAATAAAAGTGACGGAGTTGTTGGTGAAAATGGATCACTAGACAAGGTACGAATTTAAGCATTCCGGTACATGTTTCTTAACCAAAATTTCACGTAGAACACGATTCGCGCAACGAAAATTACTGAAACCAACTCCTAACGAAGATATTAACCTTTTCATTTCACATTGGTTACGAGGAATTTGAACTGCCCGCTCACAAGAAACTCAAAGCTCTACGTGAGTCAAATCGCGCACGACAACGGTCTCAGCAAGTTTCTTAATCGAGCAATATTCATTTCCCACCATGTGTTGTTCGAACTATAGGCAATTTGCTATAGCTGAACCAAAGCGTCAAGATTGAGGTTGCCAGATTTTTACATCGCGCAGAGACTGTCATGATAACGTTTAGCGCGCGATGTGAATCACGTAGAGCATTGAGTTTTCATGAGCGGGTGGTTTGAATTCACGCATCAAGAATCATTAAATATCGTTGTGAGGAGTTGATTTCGATAATTTTCATTGTGCGCATCGTGCTCTACGTGAAATTTTGATCACGGATCATATATCAGAGTGCTGAAATTCTTACCTTGTCTAGTGGTCCATTGCGCATTAAAATATGAGTTACGGGCGGGGTGTGATTTCCCCTTCAATCTGCGGGTTATGCAACAGAATTCACACCTCCAATTTGTAGTTCATGCGATTGTGTATATTACCCTTTTGTTATGGAATGGATTACTCAGTTGCGGAGGTGAGTTTCAGCGCACTTGGAGGTAAGTGTAACGGAACCTCGGACTTTGGGCATTAGTATTGGATACTTCACTTTTGGATTTGGATAATGGAATATTCAGATTGATGAATCAAAAAAATTTTGTTGATTATTTTGGAATGTTATAGTTATGTTGCAAAACGTCACCGTTAAAAAGCGGCAGCATTTAAAACGACAGCGTTTAAAAACATTGGTGTTTTAAAGATTAGCATTCGATCCTTTCTCCTTCTCCGAACTTTGAATGGACACTGAAGTCGTCGAGTTTCCGATTGTTTTTGTCATGAGATAACATGGTGAGACGGAACTTGCTAACGGACGTGTTATGTTCGATAAGATGAAAATGAATCAACGCACTTTACGGAATTATAGATTTATTCATAGTTACTCACGAACACGCCATTCCGGCTGCAGCTGATGATAGCTAACCGATAACAATTTTTGATAACCTTCAACTTACGCAAACGCACTATCCTCTCAGGTGTGGCATTACAGTGATTGCCAACCTGACTGCACTAATACTATATTTCATTATTACAACAGGACGATAGGGACTTCGAGTAAAGGAACCGAAAGGAACGAATGAGTGCTAGTAAGCTCCAGATGAATAGAAGAACATCCGTTAAGGTAGGAGGTGCGCATTTGATTTCCAGATAGTTTGGACCCATCCGATGTTTGCTTCGGTTGAGTTTTCGACCGCTGTGGAAGTCACTCCGACGACGGCAGTCATGCGGGCACGTATAGCCGGGGGGTTGCGCCCTCTGGACCCCCGGTCACTCGCATGCGAGTAGTGGTCGTAAATTTTTTATCACTTTAGTATGAAGACTTCATAGAAAACGATATGAAATTTTCACTCCACAATTAACTTGTAGAATAATAATGAAGGGGCAAGAGATAGACTGTATCTTGAAATGGACGGTTCCCACTTAGCAGAAACAGCCAACGGCACGAGAAAGTGAGGAACCATCTTTCACGGTCGTCTGCACATCTAGTTTTTCTTCTTTATAGAGGTCCCGCGCATTCACCACGGGAAGGAAGTGTATTTCCCGAAGTGGGATTTTTGTAGTCCTAAAATCGTACGTCTGTAAGTCATTGCGTAATCGATAGTTTTTTCCCAGATATTTCCTTTCCTTGGGCCACTGTGCGACGATCAGTTCGTCCAAAAACTTTCTTCACCTGACCCACTGTGCGACGCGCAGTTTGCTAAAATTATCCTTCCCCTGAACGACTGAGCGACGAAAAGCTTGTTCAAAAACTTCTTCCCCCTGACCCACTGTGCGACGATCAGCTTGTCCAAAAACTTTCTCCCCCGACCCACTGTGCAGCCCTGCTCCGGCCGGCTCCCCTCATGCCGCGCACCCCCGCCCAAAACTTTCAAAGCTCACCATTTTTAAACGGCTCAGCCGATTTAGCTCTAATTCAATACCAAATCAGTCCTAGGGGAGAACTACCACCCATTAAAAATGTCAGCTCAAAACAGTAATTTTCGCTTGAGTTATCGAGTGGATAAGATTTGACCTCCTCCCACTCTCGAGCTCCACTCCTCAAAACCTACTTCCTCAAATTTAATTTTTTTGTGTGCAGAATAGTAGTTCTAATGAGTCTCTACTGAATGCAAAAAAATTGGTCTATATATCTTTCAACGTAAGAAAGATATACCTACTCAAAAATCGACAAATCTTAAAAAGGCGGAAATGCATACACACACACACACCCTCCCTCACAAACACACACACACACACACACACCCTCACCCTCTCACACACACATATATATATATATTTGAATGGCATATCTTTTAGAGATCTACGACCCGTGATCGGTGCTCTCTGCAAGGTCTCGGGTCTGGGTCCGACATCATGGGAGAATGCAATAGTGTATTTTCTTCGGAGAATACACTGAAAACAAAGTAATTGTGTCGCCAGACATCACGTCCTGCAATACGTCATCAATTGAAGCTGGATTCATGCTTATTTTATCAATTATATACTCAGAGAACAAAGGACAGGAAAAGAAATATTGGAACACAAAGGAAAAGAAAAGAAAGAGAAACGCAGGAGAGATTCAAGAAAAGCACAGTATAACAGAGAAAGAAATAAAGAAAAATAACAAAGAAAACGACTCCACTAGGGTAATCTGAGCTCAGCTGCGTGGGAGCATGAGCGAGATAAAATAAAAACACCGAGGAGATTTAAGAAAAACACAGCAGAGAACTAAGGAAAACACAGTAGAGAACTAAGGAAAATACAGTAAAGCAGAGAAAAAGTACAGTCAAATAAATAAAGAAAATTATTATCGAAGAAATTCCAATAATTCGGAAAATAATTCGCTGGCGTAATCTATGCGTAGCTGCGTGGGAGCATGAGCGAGATTTATCATCAACTGACCGCTGGCCGCTAGGTACCCTGGTACCTGGGTGGGCGAGCGACAATGCGTAAGCGGTCGCATGGTTCGATTGACAGAGGAGTGGGGAACGGTCAGAGACGTAAGGGAAAGGTTCAGGCAGAACCGTTCAGCACAGCGCAGCGTCAGTCACCGGGTGGGGAAGAGAGGCGGGTAGGGGACACTTCCCCTCGAGTGAAAGAGAAAAAGGTAGAATCGCTGAAAGTCTGAATCCTTCGAAGTTTACATTAATGATGATGATGATTTGCGAAATAGAGGTTTCCACACCGAAAGTGGCCTAGTTATTTTAGTTCCTTAGTATTAGTATCCCCGACCTCCAATCACTGCATGGTGCACGCGCCGGGCTTTGAGCAAGTCATCAAAAATCGATTCCGGTACCCCCCATCTGTTTTTTCCAAAAATGTATTTTGAAGGGTGTTAAATCAAG